ACAACCGATCGTTATACATCGTATAGCGCATTATTATATAAGGTATTCAGCGCATTAAAAATATCATAACCCACGGTCTTGTAGTTCTAATCTGGAAGGCCTTAATTGAAGTTTTTTCGAAATCAAATTTTCAAACAAACTATATAAAAGAGCTCATTTGATATATTTATGGAAATGCGAATTCCCCAGGTTTATATTTTTGGTACTTTAAAACATGATTTATTCATGAATTATTCAATAAAACTATTTTTAACCTCTTTATGTGCAAGAAATCCAAGCATGCTTGTTTATTTCAGTTTATAATAAATCAAATAATAAAAATTTTCCTGTTTTTTGTTAATTATTTTGCAATGAATCTTCTTTATTTTTATATTCAGGATCACCTTGAAATAACCAGGTAATATGGGACATTGTAATATCCATTCCTGGTTCTTTTTAATAATTGTCTGAAAGGTGGTCAAATGCTAATGCACATTAGCTATTTACACAACCAAGAAGTGCTATAAACATTTGATTGCTGCATTTTTGGATAACATATATATGTGAGAGTTAAGTGGCATTTAAAAGCTTGGTGATTTGCAGTCTTCCATATCAAATGTGGTCTTTTATGCTACAAAATTTTAAGTAATACATCTCTCAAAACTGACCCTTAAACATGTTATATATGATTATGAAGCTCATAAGGCTATAAATACAATTTTTTGAAAAAACTATTTTGTGTTAATATTATCTGTCAAAGAACCAAGCATTGAACAGTGCAGATCATGTGAATCAAGCATTAAACTGTGCAGATAATTTAGAGCTATAATTATACACAATATGTATTGCAAGGCAGGTTTTGATCAGAAATCAATTTTAAAAAATTTGACCTTTTGAATTAATATTCTTGAGGGCTCATGAAAGTTAAATTTTCATATATGAAAAACAATTAATTTATATGTCTTTTCCATTGTCCCACTTGGAGACCTCAATAACATTTATACAAAATCACCAACAACATCAAATCATGGATTAATTAAACTGAAGAAATAAGTGTTTGTTAGGTACCACAGAATATGTTCATAAATTAATAAAGCAAAAGACATTACTGATAGTATCCTAACATTAACTTTCATTTTAAATTTTGACAGTTGATTTTAAAATCAAGACAAACTGAGTCAACTAATCAAGAAAAAGAAAACCTCATGATGTGGGTTGAATTGCCAGGGACACCTATGCTAAGACTTCAGGTCTTTATACAGCTCAGTGGCCGGGTCTTTCTTGGCGAAATATAGCGAGCTTAAGCATGCGACGTTTTTGTCAACACGGACGTCACGCGTACAAAATTTTGGCGTTATAGATGGCGTCAGCCGTTTTTGTTTAAAATCAGAAACCGCAGTCCGTGCAGTTTCCCGTCGTAGATTTCAAGCAAGAACGGCTGACGCCATTTTTAGCCGTTAAATTTTGTACGCGTGACGTCCGTGTTGACAAAAACGTCGCATGCTTAAGCTCGCTATTTGCAAAGTACACACGAAGCCCTCGCTCGCTCCGTAAAAAGTTCTCTTTCTCGGTACTTTTCATTCGAAAATTGTAAACTTAGTAGAGGACTTGCGATTTTGGATGCGAAAAGCTGGATTTGGCAACTACTGCGAGCTATTTTAAGGTAAATATTTGAAGTTTTTCTTGCATTTAGTCTTCCCGCCTTTTTATTGTGTAAACTTGGCCTGCAAAAACAGACAAATTTATTGCAAGATTCTTATAGTTTAATTCTAAAATGCTTTTCAAATAGTTGTTTCTATAATTTTTGATGCTGGTCGATTTATTTTTTCTGTGGGGCTGTTGCCAAAAGAGTTTTTCAGTCGCAAAACTGACGGCGAAGTATTTTTTTGTTTCTGACCAGCATGAATACATGATATCGCGAGCCTCCGATATTTACCTTAAGTTCCTGGGATATTTTAATAGTCTATAACAATTCGAATTCGTATCTTTAGAAGCAGTAGAAGGACAGAAGTCCACAATGCCCGGTAGAGGGTAGAAGAAGCAATGCCAATGGGAAACTCAAACACAAATTTCAATACAAGAAAGCCCTAACCAGGCCCTAACCTAGCGAAACGATGTTAAAAACAACCCCAAAATAACTGTTCAATTCTCAATGGACGAAGCAACTTACCATGATGCAGTAAATCTAGGTATGTGGAATTTTTTTCCTATTCTTTTTATATTAGCTAAGCCTAAGTTACTTGAAATTATTCCTTCCTTATAGTTATACTCACATGTTTCTGCTTATTTGTCTGAGTATGTTTGCATTGTGGATCACATAGAACATATAGATTTTGAAGGTCTGTTGAACAATGTGCTCTGTTATATGCATAAAAAGCACACTACTCGAATTTACACTCATATATACATGCAATTTTTCTATTTGTTCGTAGATTGAAGACTTGTTTCTTGCAATTGGCACAACAGGAAACCTCCGCAAATTTTACTACGAGGAAAATTGTAAAAGAAGAAACGTGGATCAGTATTGCCTATACAGCCAGGTCATCATCTTGGTAGAGTGAGTCTTAGCTTAATAGAACTCTAGTAGAACTGAACAACCAGTGTCTTAATGACTATACCATTATGTTTTAGGCATGCATGGTACTCCACTTAAAAACATTTTCTAAATTTTTTGCAAATGTGCATGTGTGTTAAAGTGTAATTAAAAGTATTAAAGAGCTATACTATAGAAGCAATTCCTTTAATGCGTAGTTGACTTGCTGTACTCAAACAGAAATGTAATTGATCTCATGTATTCAATATTATAATAATATAATAACGATATTTGTGCTGCATTGTTTGTTGACTCGATCGGTATTATAGGTGGAAATCTTCGATGGAACGGAATATTTCGCTCAATTTATTTATCTTTTCAATTGTGAAATTAAAACGAAGCAGATTTACTTGATAGATCACAATTGAAAAGAAAATCAAGCGAAAAATTTCCTTCTATCGAAGTAATTTACCTATATAGTAGAAAACCGGCCTAACACCTAAAACGGTGTTAAATGTGTTTAACCACTGTGGTTTAACTCCAAAAATGGAGTTGTGTTTTAAGTCCAGAATTGGAGTTAAATTAACTCCAAAAGCGGTGTTAAATTATAACACCAGAAGTGGAGTTATTTGTTACTCCAAAAAGCTACTCATTTTGAACCTTTTTTTTTTACCCCTTTTTTGGTGTTAAAATAACTCCCTAAAACTAGCAATATAAAAATAACTAACAAAGTCAACATGGTAAAATTAACAGTTTAATGTTCCAACAATTTGCAAAAAAGCCATCCCCAAATTCCATAACATCTTTATCCTAAAAAAAAAAGATCAGACCAAGTTTAACTGTACTCAATAGAGTACACCCAGAGGACAGAACCAGAGAGGAGTAGAAATCATTGTAAATTAACAAGCTTGAATCAAGCTTGTAGCTTTACGGTGACGTAGCTAACATGAACTGCATAATAATAATGATAAATAATTTATTCGGGCGCACGGAATACCAAGATCATATCCTAATTGGTTATTATTGTATTCTGTGCTCTCGAACCATCGAAAAACCACACGAAAGATATTTGGTAACCGGGAAGACGAAATTTAACGCTTGTTGGCTCTTCCACAGTTGCCATTTAATGTTTTAGACTTTTAGAGACATCACTTTACATTTGTCGACAGTGTCTCGATAAACTAAGGAAACGATCCGCTCTTCTTGCTCAACATAACCTCATTATGAGCGAACTTAAAGAGGCATGCGAAGAAGGACAACTCAAAAGCCGACAAGTCCTCGAAGAAGAAGAACCGAGCAACAAACAGCCATGTATTACACCGCCAAATTTGCCCAGCGCATCCCAGACATTCACAAAGGCTACGAAATCAGTTGCTAGTACACGTGAACTGGTCAGTGCGCTGCCAGAATTCAGGCGCGGATCTAGTCAGAATCTGACCACGGTCAGATTTTTCCGATCCAGAATTTTCCCATCTGCAATCTAATATTTACACATTATTTAAAAGTACATATTAATTCTTTGAATCACACCAAAATTAAGGAAATATATGTCTAAAACAAATAATGTGAGCAATATCTTTCGTAATCGTTGTCATATTATTACCAATTCCTGCTAAAAGTGGGAACGAATTCCCAATTATTATTCCTTGTTTCATATTATGATTGTTCAGTTAACACTGAACTATAAAATTCGCCAAAAGCTTGCCGAATTGTACCGAGTATGTTCGGAAGCTAGTCGTGCATTCGAAGCTGCGATCACAGCAACTAGTTGACGGCTATCTTTAAAATAGGGAATGGGGAATGCGGGAATGGGGGAATGCGGGAATGGGGGAATGCGGGAATGGGGGAATGCGGGAATGGGGGAATGCGGGAATGGGGGAATGGGGAATGCGGGAATGGGGGAATGCGGGAATGCGGGAATGGGGAATGCGGAATGCGGGAATGGGGAATGCGGGAATGGGGAATGCGGGAATGGGGAATAAGGGAATGGGGGAATAAAGGAATGGGGGAATAAGGGAATGGGGGAATAAGGGAATGGGGGAATAAGGAATGGGGGAATAAGGGAATAAGGGAATGGGGGAATAAGGGAATGGGGGGATAAGGGAATAAAGGAATGGGGGAATAAGGGAATGCGGGAATGGGGGAATAAGGGAATAAGGGAATGCAGGAATAAGGGAACACAGGAATGGGGGAATAAGGGAATGAGAGAATAAGGGAATAGAGGAATGCAGGAATTGGGGAATATAAGAGAATGCGGGAATAAGGGAATGCAGGAATAAGGGAACACAAGAATGGGGGAATAAGGGAATGGGGTGAAACCGGTGAACGAGTTACGAGTGAGTGGGGGAACCAGGTGTAGTGTCCAGGACTTTGGGGGAGCTGGGGGAGTTAAGATGGCGTCTGTTGTAACTAACATAACGTGTATTTACTAAGCCAATAAAAGGCCGTTTGTTGAAGTATTTCATTGGCGACGAGGATAAAGAAAATAATGACAACGAATTTACCGGACTTTCCACCGTTTGATACGGAATCAGAGCCAACCTCATTGGGAATCCAGTGGAAAAAGTGGATTTTACGATTAGAAAACTTGTTTGTCGCGCTAGATATCAAAAGCAAGGTTCGACAAAAAGCTTTACTTCTGCACTATGGGGGTGCAAAACTATCTGATATATATTACACCCTAGCTTCGGAGGATGATCAAGAGTATGAACACGTGAAAGCAAAACTAGATGCACATTTCGAGCCAAAGGTAAATGTAACTTTCGAAACGTATAATTTTCGGCAACTGGCGCAGGAACAAGACGAGCCAATTGACAAATTTGTCACGCGGTTGCGAGAAGCCGCTGACCGTTGTAATTTCCATGATAAAGATAGAGAAATAAAAGATCAAATAGTTCAAAAATGTTTTTCGGAACGTTTGCGCAGAAAAGCCCTGAGAGAGGACTCCACACTCACCAATTTGTTGAGTGCAGCAAGGGCCATAGAAATAGCGGATGTACAAGCCAAAGCCATGGAGAACACTTCAGTTATGAAAGTGAGTCAACACTTAAAAAATGATAAAGTCCAGGAAGGACATTCACAATTAACAAAGAAAGGAGAACAACAAGAGCAGAATAATAACCGAAAGAAGGTATGTTTTAATTGTGGGGGTGTGTGGCCACATCCAGGTGGTAGAAAGTCGTGTCCAGCATGGGGAGTGGATTGCCGGAAATGTGGGAAAAAAAATCATTATGCAAGAAAATGCAATTCAGTGAAAAACATAAACAATCTTAAAGATGACTCCAGTGATAGTGACGAGGAGAATGAATATCAAGTATCGGCTGTGAAGAAGCTCAGAGAGAGTCAGAATAAGGTAACAGCTAAAGTTAATGATGTTACACTGAAATTTCAGATAGATTCAGGAGCAGATGTTAATATAATTGACGAGGACAGTTTTGGTCAGTTGAAAGGGCAGGTCTCCTTAAAACAGACCAGAGCTAAACTTTTTGCATATAACTCAACCAAACCCCTTCCTTTGTTGGGCAAGTTTACAGCAATGGTAGCCACAAAAAAGCGGTATGATGTGGCAGACTTTTATGTTGTGAAGGGCTCAAAGTCATCAGGATGCCTGCTAGCATCTCCATCAGCTGTACGTCTTGGCATATTACATATAGTTAATCAAGTGGCATCAAAGCGCCAGTTTGTACCAAAACCAAAAGGAAAGGCAACGTCTTCTGGCAGAGAAAAGCAAACACTCACAACAAATACGCAACGGAAATTGGATAAACTCATCCATAGCTACGAGGACATCTTTCATGGAATCGGAAAATTGAAGGGAGTAAAGGTGAAACTTCACATTGATGAAAGTGTGAAACCGGTGGCACAAAGGCATAGACGAGTTCCCTTTCACTTAAGAGATAAAGTGGAAGCGGAAGTTACGCGTTTAGAAAAAGCCGGGATCATTGAAAAAGTCAATTCCGCGACGGATTGGATCTCACCTATAGTGATATCTCCAAAGAAAGATTCAAATGAAATCAGATTGTGTGTGGACATGGTTGAACCTAATCGGGCGATCAAAAGAACAAGACATGTCATCCCAACAGTGGAAGAATTACGACAAGATCTTAACGGAGCTAAGATATTTTCAAAGTTAGATTTGGCTAATGGATTTCACCAGCTAGAGCTAGACGAAGAAAGCAGAGAGATAACAACGTTCTCCACTCACCTAGGTCTGAGACGATATTGTCGACTCAATTTCGGAACTAATTCAGCACCGGAACTTTTTCACGAGGAAGTAAGGAAGACTCTGAGTGGAATACCTGGAGTTAAGAACATACACGATGATATCCTAGTTTTTGGGTCAGATGAAGATGACCATTATCGAGCGTTAAGTGCAACATTTCAACGACTTAAGGACGTTGGTTTAACGCTTAAGCGAAGCAAGTGTGAGTTCGGGAAAACTTCTATTGCGTTTTTCGGACTTGTTTTTTCCAGTAAGGGCATCAGTCCCGATCCAGCAAAGGTGGAAGCTCTTCAACACCTTTCATCACCTACTAACCAAGGAGAGTTGCGGTCCTTTCTGGGCATGGCTAATTACTCGGCACAGTTTATCTACAACTACGCGACCGTGGCGGCTCCTGTACGTAATTTGACCAGAAAGAACACGCGTTGGACATGGACAGACGAACACGAAAAGTCGTTCAGAGCGATAAAAGATAGCTTGCGAACAACAGCTCTACTCAGTTATTATGACCCAAAGCTAAGAACAGAGGTTGTCTGTGATGGCTCACCGGTTGGCATCAGCGCTATGCTTGTTCAATATGATTACGACACACAGGAACCTCGGGTTATTACATATAACAGTAGATCTCTGACGGATGTGGAGAGACGCTATGGACAGATCGAGCGAGAATCCTTGGCTGTACAATATGGTTGCCTTAGGAATGAAATCTATTTGCTTGGTCGGGATTTTGAAGTAGTTACGGACCATAAACCGTTAGTTAGCCTCTACAACAATCCACGCCGACCAGGTCCCTTTCGGGTTGAGAGGATGCGACTAAAGTTACAGGGATTCCGCTTTAAAGTTGTCTACAGGCCAGGCAAACTAAATCCTGCTGATTACACATCGCGACACCCTTTACCACTAAATCGATGTCCAAAAGAACAGCTGAAGGAGTCGATGGAATTGGAAGCACACGTAAATTGGGTTATTAAAACCGACGTGCCACCATCTATAAAATTACAAGAAATTCAACTAGCGACTCGCCGTGACCCAATTCTCCATGATTTATACGAAGCTATTAAGAATAAGAAGCCCCTAGAAGATAAGAAATTCAAACATTTCAAGGGTGTAGCAGAAGAGTTGTCTCTTGCGGATGGAGTAATTTTGCGAAGTAACAAAATTGTAATACCACAATCGTTGCAAAAGATCGTTGTTAAAATTGCACACGAGGGTCATCAGGGCCTCGTTAAAACAAAACAATTTTTGCGATCAAGAGTATGGTTTCCCAAAATGGATGAAATAGTTTCTTCGGTTGTTGGTCCCTGTATTGCGTGCCAAGCGACAGTAAACACTCCGTCACAAGAGCCAGTCAAGTCTACGCGGCTTCCAAATGCACCATGGGAATGTTTAGCAGTTGATTACTATGGACCACTGCCGTCAGGAGACTACGTGCTGGTAGTAATTGACGAATATTCTAGATTCGCTGAACTTGATTTTACCACTTCAACATCAGCTAACGCAACAATTCCAAAGTTGGATCGCATTTTCTCATCGTACGGAATTCCACTGCAATTGAAGAGTGATAACGGAGCTCCATTTAACTCCAAAGCGTTCAGCGATTACTGCAAATTTATGGGTGTTCAGCATAACACTATCACACCATTACATCCACGAGCAAATGGCTTGGTGGAGAATTTTAACAGGATGATTCACAAAGTAGTACGTACTTCGTCAATTGAGCGGAAATGTTGGAAGCAAGAGCTATTCAAGTTCCTTCGCAATTACTGGGCGACGCCTCATATTACCACGGGCAAATGCCCTGCTGATTTGTTGTTTCAAACCCGGACATATCGAGTCCGCTTACCCGAACTATCAAAGTTTCAGAATGACGATAGCGATACACGGGCAAGGGATGCAACGAAGAAATTAAGAGCTAAACAATACGCCGATCGAAAGTCTTACGTCAAAACGTCACCTATCCAAATCGGGGATTTAGTCCTGGTAAGAAATGAAAAGAAAGGAAAATTACAACCAGTATATGATCCTCGACCATACACCGTGACACAAAAGAAGGGAACGATGGTGGAAGCGTCAAGAAACAACCCAAGGCATGTGATCACCCGTAATACATGCTTCTTTAAGCGTCTAAAACTACCCAATATTGAGTCAGCAGCTGGGAAAAGAGGGATGGACGACGAGAATATAGATGATGATTGTGATGGGTTTGAGAATAATGAACTGGACCCAAATTATAGTGAAGGGGATGACGACGAGAACGGAGATCAGCAAAACGAGGAAGACTGGGAAGATGAATTGCGTAATGCAGACAACATCGGTGAAATGGATAATGATCAAGAGGCAGAAGGAGGAGCAAATGAGGAGGAGTTGCATACGGACGAAGAAGATCAGATGGCAGGCAGACGTCCTCAACGACAACGAAAAGTGCCAAGAAGATATGAAGAGTACGAGATGGGTGATGAGTATTAGACACTAAATTTTAGTCGTCACTGTTTGGACGACTAGTGAACCTTAGAATATAGTCTGATTTAGGTTGTTGAGTTGTGGACAGCATTTGGGCACAGGACCCTTTAATTGTTATTGTTAGATAAACAACTAGTTACTATGACTGTTGGCTACTGAAAGTTTGGGAGGGATGTAGTGTCCAGGACTTTGGGGGAGCTGGGGGAGTTAAGATGGCGTCTGTTGTAACTAACATAACGTGTATTTACTAAGCCAATAAAAGGCCGTTTGTTGAAGTATTTCACCAGGGAATGGGAGAACAGAGGGATGGGGGGAACCAGGGAACAGGGTAAAGGTATAACTATGGACTCATTGAGCAGCTAAACTAATAGTAACAGTCTTGAGCCTGAAAGGAACAATTGTTAGTATATAGTATAGGCGTGTATACAATATTATGGCTCTCTACAAATATATTTATTGTTATTAATGCCAACCTGGCAAGTGTTAATTGTTATTGTGAAACTCAGGCACTCTTGTATTAGATTTTAGTCATTTTACCAAAGTGAAAAATCAAAATATACTTGCCTTTCAGTAAAAATTAAAACTGTAAATAAGATAATGGTATTGTTGTGTGCTAGTGTGTTCATTTAGTTGGCATGCAAAATTTCATTTCAATAGTGATATCTATTCAAAATATAATGACAAATGCAACAGCTAGAACATATGTTATATGGGAATAACATTGCTCAAGAAACTGTTCTGTGTATATAATTTTCATGCATGTTTGCATTTGCTTTCAACAAAATCTATGAATGAACCCACTGACCCTTAACTAATTAAGGACAGTCATCCTTTATTAGCGAGTTTGGGGCTGAAGAGAAAAGGGTATAGGGTAACTGCATGAAAATGAAGTGTTATTAACAATATAAATCCTTTCATCATTAAAATCTGAAACCAGGCATGAATCAACTAGCTGTACAATCCTAAATCATTATGCATCAAGTGACTGACATCAGCAATATATAGTCAACATATTGGCTCTTTCCCAATCAGCATACAAAGCTTAAAATCTTATAAAATCTTTAATGAATCTCAGTCATTCCTTGGTAGGAAGTCTCAGGCCTATATATAGCTAGTTATATAAAAACATTATATCAGAAAATATATAATCAAATATATAATCAAGTAGGGCATTTAGATATTTATTGTAGTACAGGAAGTATTTATATGTATTCATATAAATATCATAAAAAGGTAATATACATACATAGTATTCAGTATTGCAATGTTTGCATGCCAAATTATTTACATAATTACCAAGTTATTCACAAAATGCACATTGTTGTTTCACTGTAACCAAAAATGTTTCTTTCAACAAAATATATTCATCATAATTATATGTTTCCCAAAAAGTTTGTTGTCTAAAATCAGTGGAGTAAAACACTCTAAATATACTACTAATTTTGAGAAAGCTATAGAGTTAAATAATATATAGGGAAAATACTTTCTGATATAATGTTTTCATATAACTAGCTATAGGCCTGAAACTTCCTACCAAGGACTGACTGAGACTCATTAAGATTTTATAAGATTTTAAGCCAATATGTTGACTATATATTGCTGATGTCAGTACACTTGATGTATAATGAATTAATGATTTAGGATTGTACAGCTAGTTCATGGCCTGGTTCAGATTTAATGATGAAAGGATTTATATTGTTAATAACACTTCATCATTTTCATGCAGTTACCCTACCCTTTTCCTTCAGCCCCCAACCCGCTAATAAAGGATGACAGTCCTTAGTTAAGGGTCAGTGGGTTCATTTATAGATTTTGTTGAAAGCAAATGCAAACATGCATCGAAATTATATACACAGAGCAGTTTCTTGCCAACTAAATGAACACACTAGCACACAACAATACCATTATCTTAATTATAGTTTTAATTTTTACTGAAAGGCAAGTATATTTTGATTTTTCACTTTGGTAAAATCTAATACAAGAGTGCCTGAGTTTCACAATAACAATTAACACTTAATTGCTAGGTTGGCATTTAATAATAACAATAATTGTCAATAAATATATTTGCAAGTAGCATCCTAGATGCAGAGAGCCATAATACTGTATACACGCCTAATATATACTAACAATTGTTCCTTTCAGGCTCAAGACTGTTACTATTAGTTTAGCTGCTCAATGAGTCCATAGTTCCACCTTTATCCTGTTCCCTGGTTCCCTCATCCCCCTGTTTCCCCATTCCCCGGTTCCCCCACTCACTTGTTCACCGGTCACCCCATTCCCTTATTGCCCCATTCCTGCATTCCCGCATTCCCCCATTCCCGCATTCCCATTCCCGCATTCCCCCATTCCCGCATTCCCATTCCCGCATTCCCCCATTCCCCCATTCCCCCATTCCCCCATTCCCGCATTCCCCCATTCCCGCATTCCCCATTCCCGCATTCCCTTCTTGCATTCCCCCATTCCCGCATTCCCCCATTCCCGCATTCCCCATCCCCCCAATTCCCCCATTCCCGCATTCCCGCATTCCCCCATTCCCGCATTCCCCCATTCCCGCATTCCCCCATTCCTGCATTCCTGCATTCCCGCATTCCCGCATTCCCCCATTCCCGCATTCCCCATTCCCGCATTCCCGCATTCCCCCATTCCCGCATTCCCGCATTCCCCCATTCCCGCATTCCCGCATTCCCCCATTCCCGCATTCCCGCATTCCCCCATTCCCGCATTCCCGCATTCCCCCATTCCCGCATTCCCGCATTCCCCCATTCCCGCATTCCCCCATTCCCGCATTCCCCCATTCCCGCATTCCCGCATTCCCCCATTCCCGCATTCCCGCATTCCCGCATTCCCCCATAACCCCATTCCCGCATTCCCGCATTCCCCCATTCCCCATTCCCCCATTCCCGCATTCCCCCATTCCCCCATTCCCCATTCCCCATTCCCGCATTCCCCCATTCCCGCATTCCCCCATTCCCGCATTCCCCCATTCCCGTATTCCCCCATTCCCCCATTCCCGCATTCCCCCATGACCCCATCCCCGCATTCCCGCATTCCCGCATTCCCCCCTTCCCGCATTCCCCCATTCCCGCATTCCCGCATTCCCCCACTCCCGCATTCCCGCATTCCCCATTCCCGCATTCCCCATTCCCTATTTTAAAGATAGCCACTAGTTGACACGGTCGGTGTGCAGATTATTGCGCAATTGTTACTAAATATAGTAACGTTCGGACACGGTGCAGTGTAGCAAACCAATCACAGGGCAAGCTTTTGCCACGTGAGCCACGGTGCGACACGGTGCGACACGGTGGCCTGTTTTTGATTGCGCAATAAGCATGATAAACAATAAAGTTCGACACTTCTCGACTTCGAACTCGGATATAGTTATACATAACACGTTAAATTGCTCTGTTCGCTGCATCCTGGCTGATTCAGGCTGAATCGAATGCATTAATACATGAATCCGTCGAAATTTCTCAAAAGCAAAGCTAAGCGAACATATTTCAGGGGAAATATCGCTCTTCAGGCTACAACATGATGGAATTATTACTAAAGAAAGGCTTTGCTCGCTCGCGTTATACAATCGCAACGACAATTTTTAAACTGCTATTTCCCAAGAGACTAATACTGAAAATCTTTACTTAATGTTCTTGTAAGGTAAGACTTTTAGGTTTTAAATCGAACAATAGTGAGACGCTCTCCTTTATACGGAAAAACGGCCAGACCGGTTCAGTTGTATTTCGGTACAGACAGATTACTGGTATTTTAAAGTGTTTCAGGAACTCTGCATTCAAGTATATCGTTATTTACATCTGCCTAGCACGGGAAATGCAGTTTCACCGCTATATTCTTAACAAAAAACTCTATTTCAATTTAAAATATGACCAGTCTGACCTTTTTGGCCGCTGGGAGCGCCCTATGATACAAATTTGCATTTACGCTGTTGTCTGTGAATAATTTGTGTATGCAAATTTCACGTTATGTTGAGTGTGAATGAAATATCGGTAAATACCTTACCCAAAATTTTGAAAATGGTTTTGTGGTTTTATGAAAGTACAGGGATTGTTTCAGAGGGTCCATAGCCCCTTCGCCATTCGCTTCCCCCCCCCGGCCGGAAAATTTTTAGTCCTATATGCCCAACTCCCCCCGTCGACCGGAAAATTTTTAGTCCCATATGACACGGTCAGATTTTCGGCTGGATCCGCGCCTGGAATTGTTGGAAATACCAACTCCAATTTCACATTCAACCCCAGCTGTTTGCTCAGCATACAACTCTTTTAAATTAAATGTAGAGCGCACATGCAGTCCGCAAGGCAGTTTGCCAACAGTGAACACTGAACATCTGTATCGTAACTGTGCTTCGTCGACGCTATGTTTTGTTTTCATAACAAACAGTGTAAAATTAGTATATTTCCAAAAATAATTGATTCAAAATATTTAGCGACTAAACGTTCGCTCGTGTTAATAATTTTTTGACTCGTGTTCACTCGTGTTCATGATTTTTAGACTCGTGTTCGCTCGTGCTTATGATTCTTGGACTCGTTTTCGCTCGTGTTCATGATTTTTGACTTGTGTTCATATTTCTGGAGTCGTGTTCTGATTCGTGTTCATCCGTGTTCATTCGTGTTCTGACTCGTGTGGTGTTTCAGCAAACGAGAATAACACATGCAAGATTTAAAATTATTTTAGTGCCGCATACGCAACACCGTCGAGGGAAACGATCAAAAGAAACATAAAATCGAACACGATAGGCCATACGAACCTCTCAGTACTGCGGACAAATCGCACCTAATTTGTAGCGCAACCTGAAATGTAAAGACTGCCGTACACTCATATTAAAAGGGGCTCTCGTTATAATAAATATACTCAAACAGAACGGATGAGCAGATCAGCGAAAATAAACAAAGGTGATAGAGCCGTACTACATGAGCTAGACTGGTGGAGTAAAACGTTTTGTAACAACTAGTCGCAAGTCCTTAATGTAATAATGGTCCGTCCAGCGAGTCCTAGAG